GAGTGAAGTGGGAGAGAAACAGTGTTCCAGGCAGAGGGAGTAGCACGTGCCAAGGCCCTGAGGTAGTGGCATGTGAAGTAAGGCAGTGCTATAACAGCAGCTCCCCTCCAAGAGAGGCAGTGAGGAGGGGAGATGAAGTTGGAAAGGTGCCTGGAGCCAGATTGCGCCGACTCCAGGCCTTACAGTCTTTTGACTTTTATTCTGAAAGTGATAGAAAGCTACTAGGGCATGTACACTTATTTCATATTCACCTTTTGTGGGGTTGTGAACATTTTTGGCAGTCTGCTGAATCCTTCTGATCACGTTTACAGAATAATGTTTTTAAATACATGAAATCCAGGGAATGTCAAAGAAACCAATTAAGTGGATATATATTGTATTAAGGTCCCCTGAAAGGGACACATATGCTGTGGTTTACATTGGCAAAGGATGCTCTGACAGCTGGAGGGAGAAGAGACTGGAAGTGAGATGGGCCTGGGGTCACTGTTTCCATTTCTCCCACAGGGCACCTCCTCCACAGTGGGGTTGTTCAACACAGTCTTTCTGAATACAAAAAGGAAAACGTGTGACTTCTCTTTATATGAAATCTACACTCTTTTTAGTGTAAGAAGAAAAACATATAACTTCTATTTGTATTTCATTTGCCCTCATTCTTTTTCATTGTTCCATTGAATATATGTTTTATAATATCATAATATACTAGGACATCAGTACATTTCATAGAATTCATGAATAAATCTACATATATTGGAAGTTCATGCAAGGAAAGTATTTCTGATGGCGTTGTTTGATCAATCCAATCTGATTGTCTTGGCTTAGGGAGCATGATCCTGTGAGAAACTAAAAATGCCACACTAGTTTACACCACACTCCATTTCAGATACATTTTGTGGGAGGGCCTGAATGCCACGATTCAACTTTGCTAAATGTCAGTTGTGTTTCTCAAAACACCCTCACCTCTCCTTAAGAGCCCTCATCTGGCTGTAAATCTATTTACACCTGATTAGACCTACTGTCACCTGTGAGGTGGCATGTACTCCCCCACCCCCAACAAGTTTCCTGTGGTTACTACTGCATAGGAAAAGGGATTCTTGATATTCACCCTAAAATTCAGGAGGTTCTGAGAAGAGTCCTGTACTGGCAGCATCGTGAGCTAGGTGTGCTCACCCTCTGCTTCACTCGCCCCGTTGGGACTTGAGTCCTGGTGGTTTAAGTCTCTATTGTCTGCCTGTCACAAACAGACTTCTCCTGAACATTTTCATACACTCCTGAGGTGCAGCCTGCCACGTGGCATGTCTCATTCCAGGCACAATCTGGCAAAGTATTGTGCAGGAGTGCCACACTTCCTGTTTTATACCCAGGAGGAGTATCTGGAGTGGAGGAGGCAATGGAGAAGGAGTGTGAGGAGCAGCTTTTCAGGAAACTGGCTCCAGTTACTGCTGAACGGCCACCATTGCCTCTCCCCAAAGAAAACATTTCTTCTTTCCTTTTATAAATACAGAAGTTATTTTATAAAGAAAGAAGCCCAAGTATTTTATGAATAAGCAGAAATCTTCAGGTAGGCTATTAGGATGAAAACTAATGCTGAATGGCCACAGGTAGGTCCTCTCCTCAGATCAAGGGGGTGGTGGGGGCCGGGGAGATGCTATCTCAGCCCTGCTGAAAATGGTGATGAGAAGACTTTTCGCCTCTCTGCCTCACCACTAGAAACTGGTTGATGGAACTGGGTACAGAGCCTGGCCGACCCCGCTGGTCCTAGGCTCTAACTAGGAAGCCGTATTCCCCATCCCATGTTTCCTCTGCTCCTCTAAACTCTGAGCTCTGCTTGCTTCAGATACTGCCCCTTTGGCTGAGTTCTTCCGTGATTGTGTTAAATTTCATATTAGTGTTTACAGAAATGGAAATTTGGAGGTAAACTGATTAGACACTGGAAAAACAGTTTGATGAATCACCACAATGTAACTTGGCTAAAATGTCAGGGCACAAAGAGGCCTGGCCTCGGTATTACTCTTTGTAGCACCTGGCCAGCAGCAAAACACAGTGGTAGGTGATAAGCATCTGAGCCACATCAGCCTATCTGCAGTTTTTCTCTACCCAGTGGCTAAAGACACAGTCACTAAAGGACTCTGAAATACAACATTTCTTCAGTAGGATAATGTTTGCACAGAAATAGTATTCAGGGAAATAACAGAAACCTTGATATGCTTTGTCAAAATAAAACAAAACTTAGTTAAAAGATTTCAACAAAAAGAAAAGCAAATGGTTTGTAATGAAAACAGTGCCCAAAGGCATCCCCTTTAGTCTTTTATTCTCTGTCTTTCCTGTGCCCTTCAGAATGTGGTTGCCTGTGATGGATGGATCAGTTCAATTATGGGATTGATTTGGGGGGCCGAATGTTTCGGCCTGTTGCTGAAGAATTTCATGGGATTTTCTAGGTGCCTTGTTACATATGGGATATGTTTGGTCCCCGAGGTGCTGGTAAACTCCAGTTTTCCTTACATTTGAAGGTCTTTGAGAATGAGAATGAGGGGCATTTTGAATGTTTGAAGTCTTGCATTCCTCATTCTCCTTATTTATTTATTTATTTATTTTTTGGTACCAGGGATCGAACTCGGGTCCTTGTGCTTGCGCAGCAGGCGGCGAAACCACTGAGCTAAATCCCCGGCCCCATTCTCCTTATTTATGTGTGTGTTTGTTTGTGCCACATCACCACTGGAGATAACAGAGCCTTGAGGGTGATCCATGACTTAACACATGCTCCCAGCATTTCTCTCAGAGAAGACTTTGGGGTCTCTCAGTTCCCCCTTCAGAATCTCCTTATACACCTACGGAACACAGTTTTTTAGTTCCACCCTCCATCAGTATACTATGAAAATATTTTTCACTATTTAGGCTGCCCAGAGTAATTCTAGACTTGACTGGAGGTGAATGTCTGAAAGTTTTTATTGATTGCTAGTTAGACCTCTCTCCTTTGCCAGCACTGCAAAACGGAGAGGCCGGCAAATTCAGATGCATTCACTTCTGCTGGACGCCAGGCTCAAGAAACATGTCTAATGTGTGACCTCTTGAAAACTCAGAAGAAATGCAGATTTATTAATAAGCCCATCCCCGTTTAGCAGATAAGGACACTGAGGTCTAAAGTGCGTAATGAGAGCCAGAGGTTTAGCTCAGTGGTGCCAGCGCCTGCCTGGCAAGCGCAAGGTCCTGAGTTTGATTCCCAGTTCCACCAAAAACAAAAAACAAAAATAAAACATGTTAAAGTGTGTAATGAATTCAGCAAGGTCCCAAGTGTGCTGACATCAAAGTGTCTTATGACACCTTCACTCAGCTACTTTTTCTTTAGCAGATGCATTAGTGATTTTTTTTTCCTTAGTTTCCAAAAATGAATGGGTTTCCTCCTGGGCTTCTAGTCCTCCTTATGTCCTCTTGGTCCCCTTTAAAAGAAATGCCTGTGTGTCACATTCCTCTTCTTCATGGACCTTACAAGGCAATGGCTCACTGGGGGACCGATTTAATAAAATAAAACTTTCAAGCATGTTTGGCTTGATTCTAGGTGATACAGATATAGAATTGTGAATGCTTTGTAGTCAAGTTTAAAGGGAATAGAAAGGTGGAAAGTAGGTCAAATATGGTAACTGGGTAATGTCTTCTTAAGGGGTGCGTAGTGGAGATTTAGCTCTTAAAAATGGAGAAATACATGGCACATTCATAGTACTTTGGCACCTTCATATCCTGAAATTTTGAATTATGCAATTTATAATATTTACCATTATTTAATGTATCCCAGCAACTAGTCTAAAGTATAATTTATATGGATATTGATTTATTCTTTCCTAACATTTTGAAGTATATACTACTGTTATCTTACAAAAACTATGGCTAAGGCAGGCTTATTGACTTGTGCAAGGTTAGACAATTGCCCAGGTTGCTGAACCTTGCCCAGGGTTAGACAGCTGCTGGCAGGAGTGGAGGCTGATCCTAGAAGTTGGCTGGAGAGCCCTGAACCATGGTGCATCCTGTCTTTCAGTGGCAGGTGCTCAATTGCACGATTTCATGGGGTTTTAAAGATTATTTTTCTTTGTAATTAGAACCAGCTCAACATACAGTTGGAAGGGTAAATATTTGTCATGCTTAGTGACAGACACGATGGGTTAAAGAAAAAAGGTCTAAGGCAAAGTCAGGTGCTTTCTCTTACATATCCCTCCATCTGTATTTAGTCTAGCAAAGGTCACTTGAGCACAAGTGCTCGGATTTCATGCTTCTAAGCAGCTTCCTTGTGGTTAAAACCTTGCTCTACAAATAGACTTTTAAAGTGTTTGTAATAATGTACATTGTATGGACAATTGGTCATTACATTAGAGGCTTCTTAACTAGGGCTTTTGTGACAGTATTTTTCATCATAAGTGACAGAAATCATAAAGCAGTTTTTGTTTTGCTCCCAAATGGCACCCTTTTCTGATGGTATCCACTGGATGGACTTTTACTGGAAGAGACAGCGGTTCTGGGAGACTTGAGCTGTTGGCATTGTCAGTCAGCTACCTGGCTATGGTTTGTGGTAGAAGAGGAGGAGAGGGAGGAGAGTAAAAGGCTTGAAATGGTAAATTACTGTAGGTTCTTGAGAAAAATAGAAATAGAAACATTTGTGGTTCAGATGAAAATAGCACATTTCCTTTCTGCTTGGACTGTGGGGGGTCAAAGTGCTCCAGGGAATAGAAAATAAATAAAAATTGATCCTTCACCAGTTGAAGGAAATGTTCTGACTCTGGGAACTGAAATGACAGCTCCAGATTTGAAGATACTATGAAAGCACGTTTGAAGGTTAAAAAAAAAAAATCCACCAGGGGACTTAAAAAAAGAGAGAAGATGAGCTAACATGTTAGGAAATGTAGTCTTTAGAGAATAATTTATGCAGCCCTTTTCTGAAACTGACCACTGGAAGCAGGACCTGATCAGGTATGGGATGTTTGGTGCTCACCATGGTCCTTCCGTTTCTTCTGTAGGTGAGAAGCCTTACAAGTGCTCATGGGAAGGATGTGAGTGGCGTTTTGCACGGAGCGATGAGCTCACGAGGCACTACAGGAAACACACAGGTGCAAAGCCCTTTAAATGCAACCACTGCGACAGGTAAGGGGATGTAGACACTGCTTGGGTGGGGAAGGAAGATGAAGGCGTGGGTTGGGGGATAGCCTGTAATGTGCTCTTGGATTGGTACATGCCTGTCTCACAGATCCTTGGGCCTGGAATTGTCTTTTATTTCTCCACTGAGGAAACCAATGAGAGAGCATGTCCTCTTGGGTGTAATCAAGGGGTGGCATGAATTCCTGATTCCATTACAGGACCGTTAACTACCTTAGGTCCAGCGCTAGCCACTGATTATCAGCAAGACAGTTCCTACACTCAGGGAGGTGATGTGACAGGTGAGTTTAGTGTAATACGAAAAGTAATGGGGTAGAGAATGATCACTTGTAGTGGCTGCTTCTGATCTTTTTATTAACATCAGTACTGCTTTCTCTCATCCTTCATAATAGAAAAAAGTAGAAAGCTTGCTTAACAGCAGAAAGGTGAGTTCGTAAGGTTTTTTTCTCTGAAGTATTATTGAAAATGAATTTACTAAAGAAAGTCCCCATTCTTTAGTGATCTGGACCACTCTTCCTCTCTTAAAGGCAGTCCTAGAAAGGGCCCAAAAGATGGCAGTGCTTTGAGAACTCACCCTGTAATTCAGTCTCTAAACCTTCAGCATTTGATAGTGGAAGAAGGATCACGTAGCAACAGATACTCCCCAAGTAATAGTATCTGACAGGCCTGGCCTTATCAACCAATAAACCCCAAAATGGAGGCTCTGCAGGCCAAGGTGAAGGCAGGATTAGGTTTAGACATAATCAAATAACTCGCTTGCATCTGAGCGTGTTATTCTTCTAATCCTATTTCTGTGTTTAAAAGGAAGCTTAAGAAAATTAACCAATTTTTAATGCAATACTAAAGGTCTCAGTTATGATGAGAAAAATGCTTCTAATATGATAAAAGCCCCTGAAAGCCTCAGGGTTCCCTGGCTTGGGCAGCAGCTCACAGGATGGCAGAAGAGACTGCAGGATGTGAGCAGAGGTCTGGTTCTCCTCGGGAGGAAATTCGGTGGCTTTCACATCCTGCCTCTCTGCTCTGTGTCCTGCACCTCCTGCTGGCCGCGCCTTCCTCTGTAGTGTCTGTTTTTCAAGCAGGCCAGAGATGTCCAAGCCTCTCGGTTGGCCAAGTTGGCTTGGTGATCCTTTAAAATGCTTACAAAGGAGCAGTTATGTTTTTCCTCCTTTTTTTCCTTCTTCCGGAAGAGGCTATTTTCCTCTTATCTTCATTCTTGAGAACTAAATAAAGATCCCATGCGTCCTGGAGCCCAGAGATAGCTTCCCCCACTCCACGCATCCCCCCGGCACTGAGGAAGGAAGTACACTTCCTACAACTGTTGTCTCCCACTCCCCAGGAACTCCGTTCTGCTGCCCAGGGGCACAACTGGAGGTTTCATTTCCTCCCATCCCTCGAAGTCCTCCTGAGTGTATGTGAATCAGCAGCTGTCCTTTTCCAGAGATGTCCTAGCAGAGCTTCTTCTTTTTGCTATCTCCCCTCAATTCCCATCTCAAGGTTCCCTGGTTCGCTCCTGTCTGGCGCTGGCTAATGAAGAAGTCATACAGATGATGACTCTGCCCACAGCCCTAGGACAGAGAACATTCCATGATGTTAGCTGGGATGAGGTTGAATTCTTTGTGGGTTGTCAACAATACCGTGGCAGTAGGGACACACCCATCTCTGAAGGGTGTTGAGGCTGTTACTTGAAGACTGAGCATTGTGGCTTCTCCCAGTCCTTGGAAGAAGACAGAGTTCTGGGGAAATGACCAGTGTTTATGTTCTTCACTTCATATTCACTCACTTGCTGAGGAATTTACAACTTCCCAGCAGCCAAGATATTATCAGTCAGTTTTGCTATTTGTGTGACTAGGTGAAGAGGTTTTCCAAACTTACTGGATGATTCGGTGAAGGAACCATCCATGGTGGGTGATTTGGTTAGTTTTTTGCTTTATTTTCTTCATCAAAAGACACTATGGTTTCTGGAGTAGAAATTTGCTGGGTGGATGGTAAAGACTGTGATGTGGTATTGGGGGAGATATGCATACATCAGAATCCCATGCCACAGGTCAGTAATACATTTTCAGCAATGTCAGAAGTGAGAGGCAGGGTTTTCATTGGTGTCTCAAGGCAGGTAGCACCTTACATCTCAATCGAAGTGGATGTGCTAAGAGTAGATGGGTCTGGGAGGGTATGTGGGAAACTGGAGTGAACCCAAGGCCCGGAGAACTAAGGTGACCAGGAAGTTAGCATTCCTTAGGAAACTTTTACGTTTAGAAACAGAGGGCATCTGCAGCCTTTAAGAAGGACCCAGTGCCCTATTGGTGCCACATTATATGTGAGTGCACTTTTCGTTACCTTTTGAAGTTTGAGCAATTAAACTACTCTATTTAGAAGCTAAACAGGGTTTGAACTTCTTTTCCCTAAGCATGTACTAAGCCTAACTTATGCTTTTATTTTATCCAGAGAACACTTTAAATAATGCATGCAGTGTATTTATTTATTTTTCCAATACTTATTGAGATTGTTAAATGTCATATTAAAAAGTCCATATTTTTGGCTGTGTCTGGGGAAAAAAAAACAGCTCTTGCTATAGTGGGCTCACATGCCCACATGACTGCACTAGCTGGGCCTGAATAGCCATCACTGTCCATTTGCAGTGGCCATGTTGACTGTTTTCCCACTGTCTTTGCCAGCACTTTTTGCCTCCCCAACATGGAAGCAAACCATTTGTGGCCAAGCATTATCATAGTTGCTCTGTGGTTTCTTCTTCCAAAAAGAGCAGTTTTTTATATCTATTTATTAGAAGAAGAAAGAGATAAACCAAGAGCGCTATGTGTTTCTTACACTTGGCTGCTGCACTTCCATTCTTTGTCTTCCTGGCTCCTGCAGACCCTGGGTTCTGTGACCTCTGGCTTCAGGTTTGTGTTGGGGAGAAAACACTAAGGTGATTGTGCCATTTCCTTACCATCAGGCTGAACCTCGTAGCTCTGGTAACTGAGTCACCAGTTACCAGAGGGATGAGTTGTTTTCCAGCCTATAGAGCAAGCACCAGGCTGCTGCTTGTAGTAAACAGGGCTCTGCTTCCCTTTGAGGCAGTATGCACAGCATCATTCTATCCGCTCAGCAAAGTTATAAGCCAGGGGGACTGGTATGAGGGTAGACCGACTGAAGTCTTGGATGTTTTGATCTTTATGGCAGAGCACTTATAGGTGAGAAGAAATGCCAGCTAGTCTCTTGGCCCTTTAGTGCTCTAGAGGAGGCTGCTGGCATAATTGCTGTGTGACTTCAGTGTGCCTTTTTCATAAGCATGAGGAATGACTATTGGGTTTGACTAGTCCTCTTGAATGTACGAATTTCAGTCATTAAGGACTTTCTAATTTAAGGTCATCTCACTGCTATATAGTCATAAACACTCCCCGAGAGTATATTGCCCTTAAAATTATTTGATTCTACATTTCTAGATGCTGAGTTTATCTATTACCTTTTACTATTCCTTTGTGGAAGTCAGGAACAAATATAAATTAACAAATATAAATTAATCATGACTAAGTATCTTGCTGGTGTATTGATTAAATAAAAACCTCACTGGTGAGGAAAGTGGTATAATTCTAAGCACATATTTTCTAGAATTTGTATAAATAATGATGTTAATTGGATTCTTTGGGGTGCAGTTACATTTTATACCACGTCAAAGAATTTCTTGGTTTATTTCCACTTTTTCTCCTGAAAAAGATGCAAGGTTAAGGGCAAATTATTGTACATATATAGTGCTAGATAGCCCACAACTGGTAAGAGCAGAGTAAAAGCTGAAGACATATGTGATGGAGTGGTGCGTTCGAATAAACTTCTACTCCAATTATTCTATTTTCCTGAAAGTTGCCAGGACACAGAAAGGAAATTGAAGAGGTTTTACCCACTGCCAGGACTCTGTTTACATCTCGCCATCCCAAACCTCCGTGTCCCTTGGCAGGACCGGCAGGATTCCTGGTGCAGCTTTGTTGCTTTCTCACAGGTCCTGACTGCTTGGGTCCCACCGCGGAACCTTCAGATTAATGTTCTGTTGCCGTTGTGAGCAGTGACCACACATTTAGTATTGTGTTTATTTACTTTACACATTTGGTATCCCATTGTTCTGTACGTTAAAAGTCCCACATAGATCCCCCTGGGCTAACATCAAGGAGTCTGCCGGGCTGTGTTCTCCTCTGGCAGCTCTAGGGAGGAGTCTGTTTCTTTGCTCTTCTAACTTCTAGAGGCTGCCCCATCACTGGCTTAGGACTCCAATCCCATACTCAGTCGTGCGGCCACCTGTATGATTATCTTCCAATCCCCTCTTCCATTTTTAAGGACCCTTCTGATCATACTGAGCCCACCTAGATAATCCGGGATAATCTCCCCATTTGGAGGTCAGCTGATTAGCAAATGAATTCCATCCACAAACACAGTCCCCTTTTCCATGTAACTCAACAGAGCCATGGGTTCCGGGGATTAGGTGTAGATATTTGAGGATGGGGCAGTTCTGCCTACCACAGACTCCTTTAAGCTCAGCTTCTCTTTGTCTCAGCCTAAAAAGAAGTTGTGGGTAAGAGTTTGGGCTTCTGGTGTCAGACTACCTTGGTTGAAAGCCTGGCTTGGCTACTGTCTGATGGACGTCTCATCCAGTACTTGGGATAAGAATATTTTGTTTGTAGGGCTCTTGTGGAGATGTTAACCTTAAAAAAGAAATGCCTACAAAGGGAACATCCCAATTTAGATTTCATTCTCTGGGTTTTTGTGATAAAGGAAGGACAGAGAGAAGGAAAGAAGGGGAGAGAAAGGGCTGGAAAGAGAACAGGCAGCAAACAATACTGAACTGTGCTCCAGAAGAGGGCAAGTTAAGTGCTAAACTACATGCAGGCTACATAACATTTTCAGTATACCAGCGAAACGTACCCACGGCTTTATAGAAGGTCAAATCTCCTTTAGAGGCCTCTTTAGGGGATTCTCCGAAGAGCTTGCTTACACCAAATCAGGACCTGAAATAAGTGGGTGAAATGAGCATTGTTATTATTCAGTGTGTTATTGGATTAGATTGTTTTCTGCTGCAATTTTCCCATTCTTACCAGTTTTTCATTTTGCTTCTGTCCTGCTTTGCTTTGTGTCCTTGGGGTGCTATCCTATAATGTACCCATTTAAGGAAGGGACACAAACAGAGGGTATGGAGAATGTTGGGGTAAGGGGACAGTGTATATTTTTTATTTGCTTGTTTTAAGAATGAAATTCTGCCTTGAGCAGGAAGTCCTATTAACCTGAGTGGGGCAGCTTGCTAACACTGTAACGGGTTTGGGGCAGTGGAGATGTCTCAGGCTTCAGGGGGGCCTGGAATGTTCTCATAGGGGAGAAAGAGACCTTTTTGGGAATAGGACCCCAAGGGAGAGCACTTAGCCAGATCCAAATGTGACTACTCCTTAGGTAAGTCTGCATTGAGACTCCAGCCAAAACCTGAGCCTACACGATGCCAGGATAAGGAAGAGCCCACACTATTAGTTGTAAGATACAGAAACCTGACTTGAACTGGTGTCAGAGTCAAAGGGTGGCTAGGTGGCTACCCTTAGCTACCTACGTCAGGTAGCTAACAAGAGCAGAATTAGCCAGCTTGAGGCTTGGCTGCATCCAGGTTCTCAGACATTGTCATCAGAACTTTGCTTTCTATTGCCATCCCCTCAATTGCCTTTTTCTCTGTAGACTTCCTTCTCAGGCAGGCTTTTGCCCACAGTGGCTCCAGGCTGATATCACAGTTTAGAAATCCCAGGGGAAAGAAAGCTTCTATCTTCCAATAATTTCAGCAGCTGTCTAGGCCACACCTCTGTGAGTCACATGACTGCCGCTTAGCAGCTCCCTGTGGAAAAGGGAGGGCAGCCCCATACTGCTGAGAATGTCAAAGGTTGCTACCCAGGGGAAGAGCACATGAGAACTGCATCCGCTCTGATGCTGGGAAGGGTGCACAAGCAAGAACCATAGGGACCAAGACATAATCCAAAGAGTGGGCTCAGATATTCACCCATGCACACAGTTTGAGGACTCTCACCATGCAAGGTTGCTGAAGATGGTACTGGGGTGATATTGAGGGACCCCCACGGCCAGCACACCGTCTGCATGTTATTATATACTCAGTAAATGATACCCTTCTCCATTCTTTGCCTTGATTTGAATGCAGAGTGTCTGATGAGTCTGTCAGTATCTCAGGCAGCATTTCTAGGCTTTCGTTGTAAAGCTCAGGACTGAAATCTAGGCATTGAAATGTCACAGTTGCACTATACAATGATACAGGCTACTTATTCTTTATATGTACAGTATATGAACATGACACATGTTTTCAAAGCACGTTCACATTCATTTCTTCTTTAATAATGACAATTATGATAGTTTAAAATGCATTGAGATCTTAATGTGCTAGGCAGTGTTCTGAGTACTTGACATGAATCATCTCGTTTAATTCTCACAACTAACCTGAGAGAACAGTGCTATGGATATCCCCCTTTCACAGAGGAAGAATTGAGGCCAGAGAAGTTAATGGACTAAGAGTCACAAAGCTATTGGAAGATCCAGGACTCAGTTCACCTCCTCAACACACTGCCCCAGTGTGTAACTCGTGTGCAAGATCTCCCTTTAAAGGGAGGTTGATAGTTTCCTAAGGGGTGTTGGAAACAGCACTCTTCCCCTGGGTGTCTCTAACACCCTCACTGTTGTTTCTGTGTTCCAGGTGTTTTTCCAGGTCTGACCATCTCGCTCTCCATATGAAGAGACATATCTAAACACCCTGAAGGCCAGAGTTGCAATGGCGTTGGCTGATGTCCGAAGAAGATGCCGGGTATCAGGGGGCTGGACTTCCAGCGGGGACCCACTGCCTCGAAGAAGAAAGTTCTCACTTAGAAACCTCTGTGTACACACACACCCACACACACCCTCTCACACACAGACCCACACACACCCACACTGTCATGCACTCAACTATATTTAAGATATATACGTCTATTCCTTATGCCTTGCTCTAGCCAGATGGTAGAAGACAAAGAAGGAGGAAACCAGGTGGACTCAGCAAGGCAGACTGGCTGCTTACTTCAGCGCTATTGAAATTACTTCCCGCTGTTGCCAAGGGAAATCAAAGCAAATGGATTCGACGTCTCTGCCGGCGGATGGCAGTACGAGGGGCTTATTTAACTTGCTTCTCCATGCAACTTGATAGGAGAATCCAGCATCTTAAAGTTGCTTATGTGTAGCACTAATGTTTCTTTTTAAATAGTTGGGGGAAAATGACCTAGAAAACCAAATTGCAGTTTGGTAGCCAAAATTAACTCTTGGTTTATTTGTCCTTTGTATGTGAAAAGTCCTACTATTCCGTGCGTCAGACTTCCTCACAGAACTGTTGATTGGTTTTGGTTCTTCTTAGTACCATTGAGATCTTTCGAGTCAATACCAACGGCCTTAGCGGCGGCAGACGCTGAAATAACACGTTGTTGTTACACCTATCTGGCCTGCATCTCTCTAGACTTCACTCTCCAGGGAGGAGTTTTCTTTACTTACTTTTTGACTCTTGCACACCATATGCACTAGGGATTCCGGAAACTTCTAGCATGACTGCAAAGTGGCCAAGAGAATAAAGTCCTTGATGATATATCACAGTATATCCCTTGAGCCTCAGATTATTGCCAGTGCTAGATTTTTTCTTTTTAATCTCTCTGTTTTTTGCTAAGGAAAACTTGAAAAGCTTATTTGGAAGCTTAAATGTTTTATCTTTTCTCCATGGACCTAACCTCTCCAGGACACTGTCGCCACCTGGATGTCCAGCTCTCAAAGCAGCCAATCAGATCGGACATCACAGTTCTCTCTCATCTTCCTTGAGGCATGATGACCTCAGCCCGTAGTGCTCAGCCACTGTGCTGTGTGTCACTGCTACCCTATAACCAGTTACAGCCTAGATGTCACTAGTCTCAAAGGGCAGCTGCGTACTTAATCTAACTCTGGGTCATGACTTGACAAAAAGCCAAAAATATCACTCTGTTCAGGAGTGGAGAAAACTGAGGATGCCTCCCAAGTCTAGTGGCTTCACAAAACATCATCCTGTCTTTCTCTCTCCTACCCACTGCGCTCACATTCCCCGACTGATTACAGTACACAATGCAGAATGCCATGGTGGGAATGAAGGGTTGGCCTTTAAGGAAAGGTGGGATGGTTTCTTTTGTGATGCTGCTAGGTTTCTTTCTTTCTTTTGGGGGGTAAGGGAGAGATAGGCCCACCATGACTTGTTGCCTACAGCACCCAGAATCAACAGAGGCCCCACATTCACTCTGCAAGCTGACTCCAAGAGGGTTTGCAGTCCTCACTCGCATCCCCACCACACACACACATCTGACATTCCTCTCTATCTACCCACACTCTTAGCTAGCTGGCACCGGCCTCAACTCCAAAGACTGCCTTTAGGACCATCCAATGGCCTATGCAAGCAAGCGGGGTGGTTATTAGGACAGATTGTATATTTTGTATATTCTGGGACCATCCCTTCAAGACACGTCTCAAAAACAAACATGGCATTTGGTCCGCACATGGTTGCTGCTCCTTCATACCAGCTGGCTCCCCTCCCGTCCTTCTCTGAGTCTTTGACTCCTTGACTGTTAAAATGTCACCCATACATACTTGGGATGCAAAACTGAAGTCTTTCAAAGGAAATAATATAAGAAACATAAACACATATATGACAGCAGCCTTCGAGATCCTTGGCATTGTGGGTTTTCAGCTTTCTGCAACCTTTGTTTTCACTGAAATGTTGAAACTACTTGTCTGAGGGTAAAGGAACCTCCTTGCCACAAATGCGATAGTTGCCAATTGGACGCTTGGGGCGTTTCTAGGTCTGGCCCTTAGAATTTTCTTTCTCTTTTTCCTTTTTAAAAAAATTTAGACCAAAAAACAAAAACAAAAAGAAAAATTTTAAAAAAGCAACAAAAAAAGAAACAACACCCTAAGCATTCACACACTGCGCACACACATACACAAAATCTGTCCATTTGCCGGAGGCAATTATATATATGTTAGTTAGAGGGTATTAAAAAAAAATCAGTTTTATTCCAAAGATTTAAAACTAGACATGACTTAGAAACAATTTCTGGAGCACTGCTTGCTGACAATCTCATAGTTCTCTACTGCATTTAAGTGTGTTTAATGGCCAGTCCATCAGGGCGTAGCATGGGATTATATTTGAATGTGTGGTGCATCCTTTTTGGATGAAGGATGTGTGAGGGACCTTGAACCTCAACTGTATTAAACTGTAGCACCTCCAGTCAGTGCACTAGATGAAACTTTAGACACCCACGTTTTGTTGGTTTGTTTCTTTTCCTTTCCGTCGCAGAGCTCCAGCGTACATGCACGCACACGCCAGTGGTGGCCTTTAGCCATGGCTGCCATGATTTATAAATGTTCTCTCCCAAGCTGGAACTGCATTTCCCTCTCAAAATGCTGTTATTAAGGGTTTATAATACTTAATTTAATATTTGAACTGACCAATGCAAGGCTCTATGAAAAAGAAAGTTGTTTTTTTTTAAAGAATGCAAAAGAGTAATCATTGCTGTTTGTTCCCTGTCCTCATCTGTGGTCTCCTTAGAATGTGGCAGAACATAGGCCCTTGGCCCTTTGGTCCTCCTTGGTGTCTGAAATGTTCAGTAACTTCTCTCCCTTTTGTATCAGTGAGGTCCTTTGTAATCTGCCCCTGACCTTTGCAGAGCAGGGTGCCTGAACCTTGATGATGGTGCTTGCTTGCTTGCTTCAGTCGTTTGTTGACTGTGAGAATTGGCCTGAGAATTCAGTGGGTGCTAAGTGGCTTTGAAACTGTTCTCTAGCCTAGATTGACACCTGTGAATAATAACCAGTCCAGACCGTGGTGGGGGTGAGGGTGGCCCTGATCATTTTGGAAATGGAGTTTTGATAAATTGTTCGTCAACTCTGATGTGCACAGGTTTTCCAAGAAATAACCTGAGTGCACTTGGCTCGGAGAGGACTGGTTATTTTAAGCAGTGCTTGAGGGGACGTTTGAAACACTGGAAACCCCTTTCTCATTTAAACTGTTACCTCCTGACATTCCAGGGCATCCCAGGTTTGAAGGAAAAAGCTGGCATGGTGTTTCTTGCAGTTGTCCTCTCAAGCACACTCTATCCAGGGTTCAGAGTTGGATGGGCAGAAAAAGTGTTTCTAAGCCACTGACGCTTTTCTTTATTTCAAGTTATGCTTCTCTCTCCTGCCACATGGCTGCAAACCAGAGATGTGGAATCCTGAATTACAATGCTGCTCCTAGCTACTGGCCTCCTGCCCCACTGTTGGTTCACTGGCCCAGCTTATGGCTGGTGGTGATGAGTATTTTATGTCCAGAAGAAGAAATGTTTGGATTCCACGACAAAGCTGCATTTTGTAAAAATATTGGAGACCCCCAAACGACCTTCATGCTGACCATTTCTTTCTCCTCTCTCTGTGTTTTCCCTGCAAAGCCCTTGAAATACCCCTTCTCTTGATGCCATGTCCTCCCACCCACACCTCCTGTGCCCTTTGCATCTTCGATTGCCTGATTATAACAGGGTAAAAAGACAGCCAACCTCATGCGTGATGAGCAGAACGGATTCCTAGTTTTAAGAAATCTTCTTTGAAGCCAGAGAAGATTTTTAACGGACTGTAGTTTGGGATAAGTTTCCAGATTATCCGTGTCTAGCTGCATCAAAGGGGAAATAAACGGGGTCTTTTGGGTGGCTCATCCAGCACTTTCAGAACATTCTACCCACAGCCTTCACTCCTGCGTTCTATGGGAAAGCCAAAAGAAGGAAACTCAGATTGCAAGAACAACAAAACCCAGTGATTATGGTTCAAAATGATTTCCTCTTCGGGAATCACTTTATAAAATGTAAAACACTGTATAGTGGGAAGATGCTTTTGTCTTTTGCCCGAGTTTCTTTGGAGAAGGAAGAAAGCAGGGAAATTCAGAAAGAAGCAAACCATTGGATTATAGGAATCAGGCTTCCTGTTTCTTTCTTTAAAAAAAATTCGTAGGAGGGCCAGCATTTCTGGCCTCAAGTTTGCACCCTGACCATTGTTAAAGTGGAAATTCAGTAAGTAGGACCTGGTTGAAGTTGATTTGTGGGTGCTTTCCCACCCATTTTCTGGAACTGGCAGGAGACAGGGCTCGGAGGGGAGGATTGGATTCTGGGTGTCTGGATTAAATTTCGGTAAACATGGTGATTTCTCAGCTTGGAAACCAGAGGGCCTGGCCTGAGGATACATCAATGCCTTTCTGAGGGCCTATTTTCCTTGTGGAGGGTCTTTGGAAATACTTGAGATGGGACAACAGAAATGTGTCAAAGGAAGCAAAAACCATTTGTAAATAATGTGATATCTCATGACTAACTGCCTGAGGCTCCAGGGTTTTCTCTTGCTTTTAACACTCTCTTAAGTCTCCTCTCTCAGTTCCTATAATAGATCCCAGAAATGGGACAAAGCTGCAATTAACTTTCTTACATGCATTGCATCCTTAAAATATACTACTGTATTCTTCAGGTGTCCTGCATTTACATCTTAAGCCCTCCAGGAAACAGCTATCAAAAATGAGAGAGAAATCTTAGGCCATCACTTCACCAATTTCCCAAACAAGATACTCTTTTCAAACAGGGCTTCCTCTCAGTGGTCATGAGGGAAGGTTGATGCGGTCTTGGTTTGGGGACTGTTTATACTATTTTTTTTCAACTGTGAGCTTTGGAATCATAAATTGCTTTGACTCCAGCTTCTGTCTACTGCCATAAAAAGGACCCCACGTCAGAATAATAAGGGTGGTGTGTACACACACACCTAGACATGTGTGCGTATGTACCTATTGTACCTTCGCAGAAGGAAAACAGGCTACTGACATTTCGGAGGAGTAGCCACCAGTGCCTAATATCTTTTGGGGGGGATGGATGCTTATAATTGCCAGTATATCAAAACCACACTGGGAGTTAGTTCCACATAGAGGGGAGGGGCAGTGGGTGGGGAGAGGGGACATTTTAATCCTAGGTCTTCAGACTGGAGGCAGAGGATTTCTGCACATCTAGATCCTGAAGGCTTGGGGGCTCATTGGCTGGTTCTCAACCATTTATGTTTTATCTTCCCAGCATGCATTGCCTATCAGAACCCAGACTTAGTTTAATTTTCTTATTTTTTCACTTCTGTTTCATTCCAGGGAGGAAAAAATACACCTGTTAGAGCCAAGATCTCCTTGCTAACACAGAGGCAAAAATAAATGTTTGAAGTTTTCGAAGCCTCCCCTTCCATTCCACAACCCACCCCCGACTCCCTCTTCCCCTTCCCTGCCACACAACTTCCCAGCCATGACTTTTCTTTCCAATCTCTAGTCTTAACCATTGCTCGAAGACCTTTTTTATTTTTGCACTATACATTTTCCTTTTGCCAGACGTGTCTAACAAGTGTGTTTGGAAAGACCTACTCCCAGCCCTCTCCTCACCTCACTCCCCCGCCACATTCGCTCAGGCCTTCTCTGGTATTTATAATATATCACAGAAGTACCCAGTCGTATAGCCCTCGGTTATGCCTTTTTTTGACATTTTATTTTTTTTAAGCTTTTTATATATATATATAAATATATTACTTTGTCAAGTTTTTTTGCTGTACAAAAGTCTTAAGATTTAAAACTATTATTTGTATTATATGATGGTGGTATGTTAATGTTACAAAATTATTAATGAAGAAAAATTTATTTTTGTTACTGGTCTGTTTCATAATTCTTTTTTAAATTGGTATATTGTAAGATATCTATGCAAAAAATGTTATGTGACGCATTTTTATTTAAGAATGTAATATGTGTAATAAACAGTAGAATGTGTTTGGTCTTGGAATGCCTTACTGTATTTCACCTCAGTTTATTTCACTGAGGAGAAAAAATTCTCAGAGAGCCACAATTGGGTCTTTATATATTTCATGAAAGTTTTCTTGTTTGGAAAAAGGAGAGGTGAAATGTACAAGGTCACTTCTCTCTCCCTCCCTCTCTCTCTCTCATGTTCTCTCTCTCTGTCTCTCTCTCTCTCATGTTCTCTCCCTCTCCCTCTCTCTCGCTCTCTCTCTCTGTGTGTGTGGGTGTTACAGCTTTGTTCAGGTAGTTCAGTGCCCAAATAAGAGACACTCAAGGCAGTTTATTTCTTCCTGAGTAGAAAGGGAGCAAATGGTTGAAGGTTATGAAAAGCAATATTTTGGAATGAGATAGATTATAGGATGTTATTTGTTTAGGGTGTTGGTAGAGGCTTCTTGAAAGCAGTTTATTTGTTGAGAGAAGGGGTCAGTTTCTTCTGCAATGGTGTTAACTAGGAGGATATTTGGAAAGGATCATTAGAAGCAGTTTGTAGAGGAGGGAAGAGAGGTGCAGTTAGAGGGAGTAATTACGGTGGGGACTGGCCTGAGTATATTCACGAGATAGTTGGGCATGAAGTGGAAGAAGTGACTGACCAGGGATAGAGAAATTGAGGTAGCTCTAAACAAAAGCATGCATGCAAACAAGCAGTCTCAGGGATGGAGGAAAGATGAAAGCCTGGGGGAAATTCACAGAGCTGAGAAGATGCCCCCTAATATCTTCTCTCCCATACCCAACTTCCAGGAAAGCAAACATCAGAGTAGGAAGAAGGTGGAGAGCTTGGCTGGTGGTATTATTCCAGCGTCCTCTGCCTGGCTGTTCTCCAAGAGAAGTGGCATCATTGATGGGAGACAGTAAACACACAGGTCCCAGGGGATGCTACTATGAAGCTTTCTTTTCATTTTTGGGGCTTACCAAAATGGATATGATGGGGGAAAACGCTAATCACATGAATCCAACAAAAGATCTTTCAACTAATTCTCATGTTAGAAATGGTAGCAACAGTGGTCGAACTTGATGTGTGGGCACAAACATTTCCAAATGTCCAAACGAAAGCAGGTGTCAGAGTAGGACAGAAGATTGGGAGAGAAGCAGGGTGATCATGTTCTCCTCCTAATGAAACAAGACAGAAAACAGTAGGTGCTGCAGGGACCAGGAAAATGGCTTTGAAAATGTAAATATCAGCCACCACATCTGCTGAGCAGGTAAGTGAGCTGGACCCAGGCAGCTCAGGTCGACCAGTAAGACACTGCATGATCTGGGGGAAACACAGCCCTGGAGCCTGCAGACCTATTGCTTGGTCCCTGGCCTCGCCAGAGTTCCAGGACTAGCTGGGGAGTTTAATTCTCATAACCCAAATCATTTGCCTAGAAACTGCTCGGTGCAAGGAGGGAAGAGACAGCTTTGAAACACTACCTAGAATACGGCTTATTATTCTACTTCCCTGTCTTATAAAAGGGTATTAAATTGGACATTGTAGGTGGTTGACAACCTGCACTGTGCTGAAATGTTAAGCGAGTAGTAAATCAAATCTATGTGACATAAAGAAAAGATGGTACATAAGTGAATATTCTAGAAGATTGAAGCTTCCCTATTTAGACATAATTTTTGCTTAAAATAGGTTAAAATATGTGTTATTCACTTTATAAAAATTTGAGCATCCTTTTTTGTAATATAATATACATTCAGGGGTGACCCCAGACTGTGGGGTCATTTGTCCTGGCATTAAATGATACTCTATGTTGGGGGGTTCTGCTTTCTCTGTAATGTCTTCCTGTTTGGAAATTGCAAATATTTATGTGTTTGTGTGTGTGTGTGTGTGTGTGTGTGTGTGTCTGTGTGTATCACCACCTAGCAGTACTTATCTCCTTGTCAACTAGCAGATCAAATAATCAAGACTGGTAACTTTTAAGTGAAAAACTAACTGGAACTGAAATTGCACAGGCAGCAGTCTGAAAGTGAAGCTGGGTATCTGATGGGAGTAGTGAGGACGGACCTGTGACAGCTATATGCTGAGGTTGTGTGCCCAATGGGAATGTTGGCCTAATGGAAAGGAGCCTCATAGAAAGCAGAATTCAGTGGAACTGATAAATTACTTAGTATTCTAGCTCATCTTCTGCTGATAAGTTTAGAAAAGGAGATGGTTCAAACTTTTAACTGAAACTATCAACATGGACTGGCTTGAACTTAATCCATTGCTTTTTAAAATTCTTTTGCCTGATCATAATACAGCTGTACATAGAACCATGCTATATTTTAAAATAATGAAATGACAAAGAAATCTACTTGAGGGTGGGAGAACAAGATTTATGTTTGTATAGAATTTTTCATTTCACGTACACATTTGAGTTGCCCTGACCACATCAATGATATAGGTATTATTTACCACCATGACCATTTGCCCTCTCAGATAAAGAAACTGGGGAACAGAGCCAGAGATACAGTTTGGTCTCATTCACATATAGAACCCAAAGAAGTTGAGCTTATAGAAGCAGAGCATAGAGTAGTGGTTACTAGGGACTGAGTAGAGAAGAGGTGGGCCGATGATGGTCCATGGGTATACAATTTCAGTTAGGAATAATTTCAGGGATATGCTGTACATTATAGTGGCTACAGTTCATAAAAACGCATTGTATTCTCAAAAATCACTAAGATGGTAGATTTGAAGTGTTCTCACCACAAAAATATGTGAGGTAATGCATATACTGGTGAGTTTCATTGAGCCATTCCACCATGTGCACATACTTCATAATATCATGTTGCACATAATAGCTATATATTTCTATCTTTCAGTTAAAAATAATTAATTTAAAAAGCAAATAAAAGAATGAGGGTTCAAAAGGGGGATTTGACTTGATCAAGATCCCATGGCAAATAGCAGAGGTAGCTGCAGGTCCCCGGCTCCCGGTGCAGCAGACTTTTCTGTACTCCTCACTTTCTCAAGAGCTAGCTCTATGTTTAGGCATGTCTCCAGCCATCAAATAACACAAGAAAACACCGACTTAATCTCCCTGTTCCCTTCCCACCAGTCATAGAAGGTGACTGATAATACAGATTCCTTTGATCTCACAGGCTAGAACTGGAAGGGATCTTGGAGAGGTCCTTCAATGTCACTGTAATACTTGAGTCAACTGAAGTCGGAGAATTCCAGCTTAGCGAAGGTCATACAGTGTGTCCTCTACAAAACAAGTGTCAATACAGAGAGTGTTGAGATGCACCAGTGCTCTGCTGTCTTGGAAATGTTTCTTAGCCTTGAGCCACCTAAATGTGAACTTCAAGATTCTTGTGATATCCTTGGGCTATTAGTCACTTCCTTAGTATTTTTCTTGAAATTGATATACTTTTTAAAAACACTTAATACAGGTTTTACCTTTAGCCCAAGAAAAATTATTTCTCCAAACTACTGGCTTGATAAACTGTTTCCATTTAAATATAAATGAAAATAAATAAATAAATAACTGACAACGTAACCACTCAACTTCATGTTACATTAACATGCTCAATTCCTAGTGGTGGTACTTAGGAGACGATGTACTGTGCTGCTGTCTACAGTGCAGGCCATGCCATTTTTCTTTAGCTAATTGTTTAGTCCATATGATGCCCCTTGGAGCACAATTTAAATTGAATCTGAAAGTAAGTGCATGTGAAAATTTAATAAAGGCTGATTTGATGCCTGGGAAGTTACTCAGAGAGAGCAGGCGAGAGAGATCTGTTAGAAGGAAAGAAAGAAATAATGCAGCCTGTAAAGGAAGTGAGTGCATTCTTGGCCTCACCTTGGCCTTCTCCTCCTTGGCCCACCCATCTTCCTTGAGGGAAAGACGCCCTCCATGGGTAGGCTCAGGCCTAGGTCATGCCCTTATCTTGGGAATGAAACCTTGAGCAATTGGCTTTGGCTGTACCAACAGTCTTCTCTTTCCCTTGTATTCCACAGTCAACAGTCATGACTGAAAAAGAAACCATTCTAACATATCCTCACCTTGGTGGCATGGTTCTTGGGACCCTGAGGCTACCACCTAAACATGCACACAAATACACAACTCAGCCCCTCAACTATGCTTCTGACCAGCTTCCAGACACCTGATTATCTACTATTAAAGATGTACATATTATTTGCCTAGTCTCTTCCCTATTTTTACATTTTAACCAGCCAAGAAGATGTAACTCCTCATGTCTTACCATCACATGTACTTTAATGTAAATGAATTTATCTAATCTTTTCACATAAACTGTTTTAAGTGCAAAGAGGATGAGAGATATGGAGATTATGAATAAGAGAAAATATTTGGAAGCCAGTGGGCAGTTTTGGGACTCAGAGGTGGGTGGTTTAAGCAGGCAAGAAGCAGCTTCACCTGCCACAACTGAGCCACAGGACAGTCAAGTGAACTTGTGACGATCACTTGAAGACTGAGCAGTATATTTTTTGCCAGTAAGGTCTCCTACCTGATCAAAATGAGAGTCTACAGGAACCTGGGTCTACAGAGCTTATCACAGGAAATAGCACCAGCAAATGGGTTGTCTCTAGCTAGATAATGATGGCAATTGCTGTACATAACCCTAGCTGCTGGGCTTGATTCTGTTCTTTAAAGCAACAGTTTTCAATGCCCTGGTTTTGTTGTGAGCAGAAAGTCAACAGTCCCTTTGTAAAGGTGGGGATGTATTTGAGTCAATGGGAGTACACTTAAAGAAAGGATCACTGCTTGTGAACTATAAATACCATCAGAGCCAAAGCAATGCTGATCTGTATCCTGTAGCTCAGCACACACATTTTTTTTTTTTGGTACCAGGGATCGAACTCAGGACCTTGTGCTTTCGAGGCAGGTGGCAGCAGCACTGAGCTAAACCCCTGGCTGACACATAGGTTCTTGAGGTGAAGTCTTTCTCTTTCTAGTCTTGCTATTGTGGTTTTTTGTTTTCCTTTATCTTCATTTGTTAAACACCGTGATATGAAAGACAGCAGGACAGCCTCATTGGTCCTGATT